TCGTCGGGTATGATGTCTTCCTACTCCTGGGACATAAATAGTGAGCCAGGCCTTAACCCGAGTAGCAGACTGGGCTTTTGTAAAAGTTCCCATGTCTCCCTCCTATGTCATGGACGGCGGAACCTCATCACAGTCCATGTTTTCTCTCTCTTCTTACCTTATGTCATGGACCGCGGAAGCTCATCGCCGTCCATGTTTTTCCTCTCTTCTTACTCCTATGTCATCGATGGCGGAAGCTCATCGTTGTCCATGTTTTCTTCCATCTTCTTACTCCTCTGTTATGGACAGCGGACGCTCATCGCCGTCCATGTTTTCTTCTATCTTCTTACTTCTATGTCATGAACGGCGAAAGCTCATCGTCATCTATGTTTTCTTTTATTTTTTCTCTCCTCTGTCATGATGGCGGATGTTCATAGCTATCCATGTTTTCTTCTACTCTCTCTCTCCTATGTCATGGACGGTGGCAACTCATCGCCGTCCATGTTTTCTTTTATGTTCTCTCTTCTCTGTCATGGACGGTGGAAGCTCATCGTTGTCCATGTTTTCTTCTACTCTCTCTCTTCTATGTTATAGATGGAAGAAGCTCATCGACGTTCATGTTTTCTTTTATTTTCTCTCTCCTCTGTTATGAACAGCAGAAGCTCATCGCCGTCCATGTTTTCTTCTATTCTCTTTGTTAAGAAGACGCTGGAAGGCTGTCCAATTGACATGGACTCAACGACACCGATCCCCATTTTCCCTTTTGAATGTACATACTTGTATGCATTCACCCAAAGACAAGGTGGGACTTCTGATCCACTTGTCTGTATCTCTAATGTGTGTATGTGGTCACAAGAAAGCAGAAACAAGTCAAGGGAGGTGATTTTGAACTGGCCACAGGCCCGAGGGGCATTCCATGTGATCTAAGAAGGCGCTGACACGAGCAGGCCGAGTGTGTCACGGACCCACGTGAGGTTAGTCCCACCTTATGACACAAATTCTTCTATCATCGGTTGGTATTCCTATCCGTATCCCTTTTTCTGTGGTTCTCGAGAGAGCGGTCTCAAGTCCCGAGTCCATCTCGAACCTAGAACCACGCCACCAGGTCATCCCGAGTAGGAGGGTGAGATTGAGGCACCTAACAACCTTGCTCATCTTAATGGAGAAGAGGCCATCCCCCCAATTAGTGGGTGACATCTGAAGAAGTATTACCCATAAGCATTGGTATGATACGCAAGACCTTAAACTATGCAGCATTGGTCCAAGCTACAAGACCTTAAATTGTGTGGGCATTGGTCCAAGCTGCAAGACCTTAAATTGCGTGGCATGGGTTCAAGTTATATAACCGTAAACTATAGCACAAGTGCTTGTAGCATGATGTAAAAGTGTGCGGCATACAGGTTCAAGTCTCATAACCTTAAACTGCACTATCGTACAATCCTCAGTTGCATGACCATAAACTGCACTCCCTCAGGATGTATCGGGGATTTTTCAATTACTTTATGCATCAACCAAAATAAAATGGAAAAAGAACAAATGATGATGATGGACATGGTGTGCACCCCAAAGTCGCCATGGCAAAATATATCAAAAAGAAAAAAAGATTGCCATAGTGAAAACCCACAAGGGTGCTATGGGCAAAAGTGTCAAAACAAAGCTAGTGTGATGAAAACCTTTCAGGGCACTCACTCTCAAATGATTGATATGTTGATCCCCATGGATCACCATGGGCAAAGTGTCATAATCTCGTGTTAAACTGTGCAACATATAGTCTTGGTCACATAACTTTAAACTGCATTACACCGTCCTATCGCACAATGTAAAACTGCTTGGATTTAGGTGAAAACTTGGATTGTCTATCGTCTTAATATTGTGGCATAGAAGGCACATAACATCATCCAATAACCCCATGACGCTAAACTATCGATCATGGTCTTAGTGTATGACCTTGAAACACACTAATCATACGGTCTCAAAAACATGACCTCAAAGATGTCTCCTAAAAAATGACGGATATGACGAAAACCTGCAAGGCCGTCATGGGTAAATTATGTCAAAATAAAAGAAAGAAAAAGCAACGGACGTGTTTGTATCTCATTTGCTATCACAAGTAAGAATGTCAAAAAAACGGGCACGAAGAATACCCGCATGAGCATCATGAGTAAAAATGTAAGAAAAAGAAAAGGCAAACATATTTTTCAACCATGGGTAAAAGCACAACAAAAGTTTTTTTTGACAAGGTTCTTGTAAAAACCAGAAATGGTACAAACCCCAAGGATCGCATGAAAACCCGAAAGGGCATATGAGTCAAAAGGAGATGAAAGGCACGTCTTTGAGAACTGTCTCAAACATCCTCTGCTTGCATTATATTATTATTACTATTATTATTGTTCTTGTTATTGTTGTTATTATTATAATTATTATTATAATTTTACTAATAATAACAATAATTATTATTATTATTATTATTATTATTATTATTATAATAACAACAATAACAACATTATTATTATTATTATTATTATTATTATTATTATTATTATTATTATTATTATTATTATTATTATTATTATTATTATTCTTATTATTATTACTACTATTATTACCATTAATATTACTATTATTAATATTATTATTCTAACTCTTCTTACTATTGCGAATTCTGCTATTATTGCCATTATTGCTATTATTACTACTATTACTATTATTAATATTATTCTTATTATTTCTATTATTTCTATTATTATTATTATTATTATTATTATTATTATTATTATTATTATTATTATTATTAT